TTAAGCCTATTTATAGATAAGCTGTGACCTCTCTGCTTTAAATAATTATGTTCCTGTTGTAAAAACTCTTATAGGATGGACTCTCGCTTCGCTCACCTGTACAAACGGGACAGCAGTGTGTCTATGATCCGGCTGAAGATGTCCAGACGCCGGTCTCAATCTCAGAAAGAGAACCGAGAGAAGATCCAGAACCTGCGCAGACATCTGGACCATCTGCCGGAGATCGAGCTCTCAATGGATGCATCCAGCCTCATGGCCACCCAAGACAACGCACCAAAAACAAAGGCAGCTAATGGTCAATATCATAGTTATTTTTGTTTGATTTTGTTTTGGCATGGCCTTTTTTCCCCAAGTAGTTGCAATTGTATTTAACAGATGTAAATGCTGCTGCTGAGGAGAGAAAGAAGATGCTTGCTCGTTACAAAGAAAACAAGATGTTGCAGAAGGAGAAGGAAAAGCGGGACAAAGAGAAGAAAGGCTTGTTTAAGGTCAGCCTGTATAAGCCACAGCCACTCGGGTATCTGCCTTCAAACACTGCTGCACAAAGCAGAGCCAAGGTGAGTGATGGGAATAACGGTTAGAAAAATCTCACTCTTTAATAAAGAGTACCTAATTTCCCATCTCATTCTTCATCATGACAGATCACAGAAACTAACCAGTCCACACGAGTGACCCGCTCAATGATGCGGAATCAAAAGGTATCATTTAAAAGCTGAAGTGTCTCATTTCTGCGTCACTGCCATCACCAAATGAAATGACAGAAATAATGTCTGTTTTCAAACATGTTTCCCTGAACATACCCCCATCTGCCATTATTCAACAAACAGGTAGACCCGGCCCAAATTAACAACATTGGTTAAACCAAAAACCCTCCAATACACGCATCAGCTTATCTTTATGTATATTACCTTTCAAAAGTCTGGGGTCAATGTGTTTTTTTTATTTTAATTTTTTTAATTTTTTTTTTAGTTCTATACTTTTATTTAGCTAAGACTTTGTAATGTTAACAAAATTCTTTTGAACTTTCTATTCAACAAAGAATCCTGGGGAAAAAAATCACTGTTTCCACAAAAATTTTTACAGCTGTAGCACAACTGTTTTCAAAATTGATCATAATAAGAAATGTTTCTTGAGAACCAAAACAACTTGTTAGAATGATTTCTGCAGTATCGTGACATTGAAGGTTGGAGTAATGGCTGCTGATAATTCATTTAAATATTTCAAAAACAATCTTACCAACCCCAAACTTCTGAATGATAATATGTTTTGTCATGTAATGACTAAATATGTGCTATAGCATTTAAAAAAAAAAAATTATTTATGATTTTAAATCATGTTAGCTTTGTTGTTTATGTACCTGTTATATTACAGTCAGCAGCAGACAGACATGCTGTTCCAAAGAAAGGTTTGTTGTGTTTAACTTCTCATGTTTTTGTTTTACCTAATGAGAATCATACAAATCAACAAACTGGTGCCTTCAAGTTGTTGATGAACAATCTTTGTGTTTGTACAGTTGAAAACGTATTGACCACCAGAGCTTCAGCCAAGACTAGCTCAAAAGCTGTGACTACCACCAAAACCAGAGCAGCTACAGGTAAAATCTACTTAATTAAATTTAGGAAGATGTAAAAGATGCAGTTGGACGATGTAGTTAGAGGTTAACATTTTCATTTCAAAGTTCCACGAGAGCTTTTTTTACTGACCCCTAACTTTTGAACAGTAGTGTACTCTTGAATTAGGACCCCATGCAGAGCATGATTGTGCATGAACTTCTTTTACAGTTGAACCATCTGTAAGAGCTCCAACCACACGATCAGCAGCTAAAACACCAGCAGCTTTGGTTAAACCGGTTACTGGTGAGTTTTATTATAACATTTTAAGCCTTGCCGTACTTGTGTTGCATGCATGAAAGCCACATTCTCTGTGATTTAGATTCAAGGATTGCAAAAACAAGATCAACTGTTAAATGTCCTGTATCGCCCTCTTCAGGCAAAGAGAAAGATGTACAAGGTAAGAAAGATAGCTATTTTCTTCTTGCATATTTTCTGATAATGTACATGACATTGCTTTATATTGCCATATTGTTGCTCAGAAGGCATTAATGTTGTTTCATTCTAGCATTATTGGATAAATGTGTCATTAATCAGTAGATCTCATTATCTTTCTCAGGCAACACCAAGGCAATTATTGAAAATAAGGTAAGGTGAGCTGTCACGTCTTTTTGGCTTTGACATTTTTTGAAAACTGCAAATTATATTTTACATTTGGATATTTTAAGACTGCTGAGAAAAAGGACACTGCAGTTGATTTTTTGAGACCTGAGGAAGAGGAACCCAAAGCTGCTGCCCCCTCATTTGCCCCTCAGGGATTCGTGTTCCAGCCTCCTGTTGGTCTAAGTTCGTTCGAGCCTGCACCTCTCTCTCCACGTTCAGCCAGCGCCTTCCTCTCACCGAGGTACCTTTAGAATTTATTCTAACAAACTACTTGATAATTCTGTACTTTAAAGGGGTCATATGATGCGATTTCAAGTTTTCCTTT